CTCTATATCTACAGTTTTGGACTCTCTATTGTTAAAAGAGGAGGGAAAGAAGACATTATTAGCGGAGTGGTTGTGGCAAAAGCAAATAGTTGCAACTAATTTCTTGATTCTCCAAATCAGGCTCCAGAATAGAAACCTTTAAGAAAATATAAGCCAACTGCTCAGGTACAGACACTGATACAGTTTTTTAGACAGAAACAGAACTGTGCTATTTCCCATGAGCTTAGGATGCGGCCCATGAACAACTGCTTTTCCTTGTAGTTACCATGCACTCCTTTTCCCCCTCCCACTGCAGTCACAAAATTATACTCTTCTACAGGTCTCTCTGCTCAGCACTGTCAATACCAGTGGAATTAATTGCTTTGTTTCTGCCTTTAGGAACATATCTGTGGGAGCTTATCTAGTTTTACATATGTCATCAGCAATTTCTGCATCTAGCCTGCTTTTTTGTTGTCATCTTTGTTTAGGCCTTCAGCATTCACTGGATGCTTACTGCTACCACTATGCTCAAATTGGCAGGTCTGCTCAGTGACTGAACTATAGTTTCCTGTACCTTTTTCGCAGCCTTTACACCTGTAAGGACAAAACATGGCATTAGAGTAGGGTACATTTAAAGCAGAGCAAATTTAGAAACATAAATGAAAAATGCCTACACATATATTTCATTTAAATAACATTACATTATTTTACTTCATGAGGTTAAACCAATTTCTTTAACATTCACTTTGAACAACAAAATGATCACTAAGTTAACCATGAGAGCAAAACAATTTTCTACCTCTGCCATTCTCCATAACTGCCTGAATTCTTCTGATTTTAGTATCTGGCTATCAATCTCACCTTTAAAGCAATGGGAGAACACTGGGATTTCACTGTTCATAAATGTCCCCAAGAGCTTAAACTGGTTTATCCCAGAAGGGCTATGAACAAATGTAGCACTGAATCACAGTAAATAAGTTTATCAGTTTAATTTCCTGAGAAATGTGTCACAGTCTTATGTTACCACTTAAATTACTAAGTATTGTAGTAAGTCCAGTCCCAGCTGGTATATGGTCTATTATATTCTTACTTTGCTAACAGGTTACATGATGCCAGAATACAAACATGGAGACAGAAATCTCCTCAGAAATGAAGAATGGCCTAACATAATTCCCTTGTTCATAACCTTTTTTCTAAGCCAACAACAAACACAGTCTGCTTGTACCATGACAGATTGCTTGCCAGTCTATTTTAAAGGTATAAATTCAGCTTCAAGCTCAGATCAAACTGTTAAACTCATTTTAGCTTCGCTATTTGGATGGATTTTTACCAATATTTGTATTAGTCACTTAGACTTGAAACTTAAACTATCTGGTTTTCCACGGCATGGGTTCCTAAAAGAAGGGGCAGCCTGGGTTTCAGATCTTACCTTTCATGTGATGCTTCTTGACTGTGACTTTCTCCTGCCTCATCTTCACTTTGGGAAGGAGCTGATGGTTCATCCTCCTCCTCTTCATTCTCACCAGCATCTTCCTCCTCTTCATCTTCCCTTTCCTCTTGCCTTTCATCTTCGGACACTTGATGTTCCTCTTGCCTTTCATCTTCGGACACTTGATGGTCCTCCTCCCTTTCCCCACTGGCTAGAGACTCACTCTCTGTGTCCTGCTCAGTTACCCTTTGACAACCATCATCTGCAGTATCTTCTTGTTGCTCTTCTGTAGTGAAGGACTGCTGAATGGAGCTCCTCCTGTGATAGCTTTCAAAAGCCAAGCTTTCTCCCTGCTTTGGCCCTTCAGTTGAAAGTCTTGCAGAATCCATTTGAAGTAGAACAGAACTTGCTTTCTCAGCATTTTCCTTGTTGAGTTTATGAACTTTCTCTTTGTGAGAGCAGGACTGGCTCTTCTCGATGGCTCCCTCTGTAAGTAAACACATTACCAGGCATCTGTCAGTAATTTTCTGGTAGTAAATAACCATATTAAATCAGGACTTGCACTCTTAGCATAATTTCTGATGTTTTCTGAAGCAGGCACTTGCTTTTCTCTCCAAATTTCAAGGTCAGTGTAAGTCTTCTAAGCAATAGCAGGGCCATAAGCTTCAGCAGAGTACTCTCTTCTTTAAAATCAGGACACCATGGATCAGAGATTCTTCACCCTCAGACATGGCACTGGAAATGTTTTTCTTACTCAAGCTAATTGTCAGCCAAGTCAAGGTTAATAAACCCATGCAAAGCATTTTGAGCAGTTTGATACCAGGCACGTAGGCACATGAAAAGTAGTTTGATGATGCTCAAGCAGCTCTCAGTCATGCTGGTGAGCACACACCTCACCCACCTTCACTGGAACTATTTAGGAGAGTAGGAAGGGCCCATTTTTTTAAAGAAATAGGGGCTCTGTAGCTGTACCCTTAGGAATTAGATACTGATCAGAAAAAATATTCTAACCTGCGAAATCTGGCGGTTTCTGTTCTTTTGTAGAATTTGTTCCTGTTTCACTCAAATGCAACTTTTCTTTGAAAACCTGTGAAGAAGACAATTGATGCATTAGTCAGTGTATGCAGGGTTCATATGCACAGTTACTTTTGGAACTGAAGCTGGATTTTTTTTTTGTCATATATGATTATTCTATGTGACCTAACTTAACCTTTTCTTATAATTCATTATTTTAATCACTATTAAACTGACTTGACTGGCACCATTGTAAAGCAGGAAAAATGATTAAAATCTGCATCACTGCAAGCATAAATACAGGCCAGTAACGACCAGAATTGAGCCTCAAGGACTAAAAGAAACAACCATCCAGGAATGAGCTGTTTCCTTGCAGCAGCCTTTTGCTGTTAAAAACTAGGTTGGTTAAATCAAACTATGAATATTTAATATTCTAGTAAAATATCCCAAACTGTCTTACTGACAGATTTCAAAAAGATCTTTGCTGTTAATCAACATCTGGTAACAGCATTTTTAATGAGCCAATGATTTATTATAGGGTGACCAAAACAGTTGCCAGGAATCAGAGTGCATAAACCACGTCAGCTTTGTAGCGCCCTCTTGGATGCATTTTACGATATTATAGTGACATCTAGAGGAGCTTTCTACCAACCCGGTTCCTCACAAAATTTTCACTGTTACTGCTACCTTTATAACTATTTACTAATATTCCTTTGCATTTTGCTTGCTGTGTTTTTTTGCCCTTCACCAATCCTAGACTTGTTGTCGAACGGTGTTGACAGCAGCCAGTGATGTCTGCTGTTTTGCAGTATTCCTTTTACATTTGCCTTCCTCCACTTATAGTACCATACAACAGGCATAGTTAACGGTAATAGCTAAAAAGGGTGTGAAAAATACAAATACACACAAATATTTTCCAAAGAAACTGCTTTTTCTCTTCGAGCCATCAACCGAAACAGCATAATGCAAACAAAATATACATGGCCAGGAACCTAATTTTGAGAGCTTTAATCATGCAAGCAGACCTGCTGCCTATTAATGACTGTACTGCAGGTATGAATATCTTCCATTGCTAAACATATATTCTGGATTTTTTTAGAATTTATTTTTTGCTTTTAATTTATCAGGCTATTCAGAAACATTCACAAAGTTAAAGCAATGTGTCTCCTCTACAAACATTGAGTTCAAGGGAAAGGAAACTGCATGAGGAGTGAAGCAAAGTTAAGAAAAACTGAATGAAACTGCAGGAAAAGATTTCAGCAGCACTGCTTTGGAAAATCCTGTCTAGAAGGGACAAACATGAGAACTGAGACTCAGCAGGTAGTTGGGATGGAGTGGGATCTAGGAGGTTACAAGCTGCAAATTGTAAAACGTCTAAACACCAGCAGCTAAGAATACTTGAAATATATATGGAGCCTTGCTCACATGAAACTTAAATGTAAATGTCATGGCTCCAGATGGATCATAATGAAACGACCGGTGCTCATTTTGTTTTTCATGATGAAAAGTCCTAAAAGAAGAAGAAGGGTAAAACTTTGGACTAATTCATTCTGCAATGTGACCGCAATTAGTAATGCACTCAAATTCCTGTAAGTTTGTCAATCTCACCATGCTGCTGTGGACATCAAGTCCGATCAAATACAGTCAGCTGAGCAAATAACCAGAGAGGCAGCCTCCAAGCTCTTTGATGCATGGGGCCAGATTTCATTTCTGCATTCAGAATTAATTGCAGGCACACAGTGCTTCCTACTAAATATTCCTGTAGCTTGCAGGTGTGAAATACAGAAGCCAGCTTTGAAAATCCGTCTAGTGGAACATTGGATGATGCTGCCAGAGAACTACATAAATTACTACAGTGTTTATTCAAGGATCGTTCCTGATCGCTTACATTTTAACAGCCGATGAGAAGCTCAGACTAATTTAAATGAGACAAAAAATGAACAGAAAAAGGAACAGTTCAGAGCATTTACTGCTACCCTTCAGAATCAATACATATGGCTGTCTGAAATAAATATAAGGCCAGCATTTAGTGCACATGGATAAGAAAAACTAACATAAGGATAGATGCTTGATTGATAGTATCTAGTACACAGCAGCAAGCTACATATGCACGTTCCATTTTTCTCCATGTGGAGGGTTTTGCCTTTAGCAGCAACATGTAACTTAAAGTTGTCAAATCTTAATCCAGCAATAAAAATATGAACTTTCACTCATTATTTCTTTCCCTTAAAGCATTGTATTGTGCCAGATTTTCCAGAGTTGACTGAAGTTAATTCACAGAGTTCCTTCTAGGGCTGGCTGGCTGCATGCTGGGGGAGGCACAAAGAGCCCCTTTAATCTGCCTAGGCCATACCTCCCTGTGCTACCTGCCTCCCCACACCTTCTCAAGGCAGGGGGAGCAGCCATTTGACAGTCTGCAGTTTGTGAGCACCCAAGACCATCAAAGTTTTCTGAAAATCTCATCTGAAAAGCATGGTGGTCTGTTAGCGACATCCAAATTACAGTCACCCCTCTACTCTTCACAGTACTCTTGTTCCTTCAATGTGCTAAAAGTGATTTCTTCCACTTCTTAGTGGAAATTACGCCTCCACTTTATTTTTTCCCTTCCTTTAAGGGATTGAATATATACGAGTTTTATGGCACCATAGCCATTTTCCCTACTCCCAGTTTTCATTTTAGTTTCAGCAAAGATTAAATATCTAAAGCTACATTGCGAGCCTGCCAAACATACAGAAGCAAAAAGGCATGTGCATCTACACAAGTTGGTACTGTGTATTCAAAAAGACGTTTTCCAGATTCAAACACACACTTTTGTACAAAACATTGCTAGACTCTAAGTAACAGAGACAGACTTAAAGTCCATGCAGCGATAACAGGATAATGTGACATACTCAAGAGGCCAAAACATCAGTATAGAGCAATGGAAAAAAACACTTTTGGAAATTATTTATATTAACTCCAGAAAGTATTTTATGAAACCATCAAAATAAAGCAATAGGCAATCATATATATGAATATATTTTAACAGCAATTTCAAATGCAGTCAGAAATTAATGTTTTTTATAGACATCTGACTCCTTTTTAATGAGCCATACTTAGTTAAATTCCCTCTTTCTATAGTACCAGACCTAAACTAGGAATGTTTTTCCAGCTAACTTTTTTCTTTTATTCGCCTAATAAAACTCTTTTTTTCTCTACTGAAAAAAATATAATGAATGGCCTCATGAAGCAACCACAAGATTTTATTTAGATTTCTTTATCACTCCATCATGTTTCATTTAATGCCAAGACATTGTTCTGATGATTGAATTTCAATCAGCTAATACTAAGACACAGAAATTTGCACATATGAAAAAGACATTTCAGTGTCTGTTTCCTCAGGTTCCTAAGACACTTTGCAAAGTTTTCTTACAACAAGTTATCCTGGTTTTGGGCAAGAACTGATCATCATCCATTACCAACATAGTTATCTGAGCTTTGTGAGGATTTCATTTTTTTTTAACAACCAAAAATATGCCATGAGTTTTGCCATGCAAGCACAGTACAAGCACAGTGTAGATGCTTTCAGCATCTACAAGTTGGTATATGGGAGAAGATACTGTATATGGCAGAGCTGTTGATGTTAGAATGTATGATGTCGATGTCTTCTGTGCTATCCAAAAAGCTGTAACCCATCTTCGCTTTTCCTTATTTTCCTCTTGAATACATACCTTTTTTTTTTTCCTCAGAGACCCAGCAACATTAAATAATCAGTGAATGAATTTCTGATACAAGCTTATAAAAGATGCAAAATACATACAGGGGAATGCTACTTTTACTGACAGGTGGTACATCTGCTTCCATGTCACTATTTTTGCCATGTTACACAACCTGCTTGCACCCACAGGCAAAAATGTTGACTTGTTGATGATTTTCAAAGGGCTTTGTGAACTAGATGATAAAGAATTCATTCTTTGGTGTAAACCATACTCAAGTCACAAGCCTCATTCAATCACACACAAAAATAGCTCTGAGCCATGAGTATTGTGTTTCTTCCGCCACTAGTAAATACAGAGAATTTCTGTGTGACCTTCTCCCTTGTAATAAGAAAATAACCTCTTAATTAAGACACATACTAAACACTGTGGAATCTTGTGGAATAACACCATCCTAGTTGGGAAGCGGAGAATCAGCAAAGTCAAAGCTTTGTCCGTTCTGCACTTTGGTTGCCGACTCCATGCTCACTGCTCTGGAGAAGCAGTAGCTCTCCTTTTCGAATGGGTGTTTCTTCCTGGCACACAGTTCTTCTCAAAACACAAAGTCTTACCATCAAGAGTGGAAGAGGCATTCATGGAATCACGCTCTGGACTGTGCCTGTGGGCTGTAGTGGGCTACCCGCGACACAGGATATTGCTGACAATCATAGGTTGCTTTTAAGCATCTTTCACCTGAAGGTCCAGTCACTATCACTTAAAAGAGTTAACATCACGCTGAAGAAAAGTAGATTTTTACTTTTACGAAAGTATATTTTTGACTCGTTGATTTGCATGACTCCAGAATACATGGAGTCCTATGATAATGACGACTAAATCTATGGCAGATATTTTTCATCTGCAAGCATAAACTATCCACCTATCAAACTATTTCAGGCAATTTTTTATTGCTATACCAATTAAATAGCCTCACTGTTAGAGAATAATATTTTTTCTAACTTATTTGAGCTAAATATGTAATGATATGCAGAGCAAATGTGTTCAGACTTCCTGAACTGCCCTTCACAAGCTACTTTGGGGAAATAACATTGTTGAGAGAAACGCAAAGCACTATAAACTTCAAAAACCATTCTGTACAGCTCTGATGACTGATTTTACCTGGATACCAAAAACACAGATCTCCTATTCATTTAACAAGCAGAGGCTGGGAGGTGGCAGGGCGGGGAGGAAATAAGATCTGGGATTTCTGTACTTCCCCATTATATACATACTTTTTCCTGTGGCATCTCCCCATAAATGCAGCACACACTGAGCGGAATGTGCTTGGACTCTCCCCAGGCTCTGCTGGGGCTGCTGCCCAGCAAGTCATCATTGCTGTTCA